TTTGGAAATGATTATGAACAGTCAAGACGGCTTCCTGTATTCCATTAAAAATACGATAAACAATCTATGCTTCTTAAGAGATATTAAAACATGAAAAGCTTACCTCATCATTCATCACCCATCCCCCACCAACAATCTCTAGCTGCCCATTCTTGACCAAATTAGTAAATCTTTCCCTTTTCAGGTCTGACGCATCCCGCCACCATTTTTCCAAGTATGACATCTCCTCCCATATGAATTTGCGGCGTGCATCCTGCGAGTAAGTTATATCAATTCAAGGTTGGAAACCTGAGACCAATTTTAGTGCTCTATCTTTAAGAAGAACCAACTCAGACAAATAGGTGGGCGAACAGTTGCTAGCTACGAGACAGAATTTGCTGCATAAGATAGTCTGAGCCAGACAAATGAGCCTTTAATGGATCATGGAAATAAAATTTGCAAGTATGAACATTTTCAACAAAAAGTATGAAAACATCAAAATCAACTGAGCCACTGGATATCTCCCAACCCATATCAATAGTAAGTAAACCGAAACAGTTGATGCCATCAGCAAAGTGGATGTACTTCTAAAACTTAAGAAGAATGATGTTTATCAGAGAAGGAAATCGGATAGACCGCAATTTCCAATAGAACTATGATATCCACTCGATTCATTAGAAGTAATACACCGCCAGGAAAAAATTCTATCCAGTAATCAATCAGAAGGAAGGTAAAAATAATTTACCCTCGATAGGGACTCAACGATGGTGTCCAATATATGCCTCGACTGCCGATTATAGTACTCATCCACCGTCAGCTTCCACCCGGGATCATTATGCGAGTGCGGAACCACGAAAACCTTTAGCTTCTCCTCATCCCACTCATTCCCATCGTACTTAACTTGCCAACCCTGCTTCCACGCTCCACCATCGATATCCAGAAATTCGATCCGATCATACAGATCCTTTGTCGTGATGTCCACCCTGGCCACAGATATCTCTCCGCCACTCCTCTTCGCTGCTCCGGCACCAGAGCCATCGGTTTTATGTGTCGAACGACGAATGGAAGGGCGGCGTACAAGCTGGGAGTTCTTCAAGTTGGAAGAGGAGGAGGAGGATGAAGACGAAGAGAGGTGACTTGGTACGCCGTAGCGTAGGAAGACGGCGAAGAAGAGGAGAAGAGAGAGGGTGATCCCGATGGCGAAGAAGGTGGAGGAAGGTGAGAAGGGGTTGCGACGCCTGGTACCGGAAGATTTGCGGAGGATCTTCGGCTTGGTGTTGCTGGTGGGAAGGAAGGTATGGCCGAAGCTACCTCCAGCGCCGCCTCGGCGGTTGCCGTAAAAGAAAGGCATCGGCGATGGGATGGCGACTGGTTCAACTTCCCGCCCGCTCGTTCTCTGCCGGGAGAAAGATGGTGGGGGGGG